CACGTGTTTATTCTTCATTTCGGGAGAAATTCGGCAAAGAATTTGTGTACCCTAAAAGCCATGATTTGAATGAAAAGTGTATTTATTTCTGAGCAACTTTGTAAAATAATGTAGCATAGAATTTATGACCACGTTCTAAAAACTTGAGCAAATTTACATGAAAAGTTACATTTGTGGGTCATTTTAGAAAAACCCGGCATCAGAATTATTTCTAAACACCCGTAAGACTTAGTGAGTTTGGATGGAAAATAATCCTGTTTTTCAAGACCATTTTGGAAGAAAAATATAGTATGGTATTACATCCAGGAAATCTTACTTATGCAAATTTGAATGCAAATTGTCTTTGTGGGCCATTTTAGAAGAAAATTCTGCTGTTGGGCTTATATTAAAAAAAAACAAAACTCCACTGATTATTTAACTACTGGAGCCATATACTAAGTTTTGAAATTTGGAAGTATAAGTTCTCCAACTTTATTCTTGTAAAAATATGTTCTTTGATTGCCTCTTTTTATTTTTTATTTTTTTGAGATGAAATCTCACTCTGTTGCCCAGGTTGGAGTGTAGTGGCATGATCTTGGCTCATTGTAAACTCAGCCTCCCAGGTTCAAGCAATTCTTCTGCCTCAGCCTCCCAAGTAGCAAGGACTACAGGCACGTGCCACCACACCCAGCTCATTTTTGTATTTTTAGTAGAGACGGGCTTTCACCATATTGGCCAGGCTGGTCTTGAACTCCTGACCTCATGATCTGCCCACCTTGGCCTCCCAAAGTGCTGGGATTATAGGCATGAGCCACCGTGCCCAGCCTGATTGCCTCTTTTTAACCTAAACCTTAGCACCCTGGACACAGTGTTCTCAGACTGTGTGTCCCATCCCTACTCCCACTGACTAATCTTGGAGATTCTTTCATATAAGTACATAGTGATGTTTCTCATTCTTTTTATGACAGCATGTTGTTCTTTTTGTGCATGATTTTTATTTAATCAGTTCCTTTTCTGAACATGTTTTTCTTTGCTAAAATTTGAAATTACTCACTACTGCACTGAAAACTTATCTAAATCATTTTGCGAAAACTTATCTAAATAATTTTGCACATGAACATATACAGCTACTGAATAAATTCCAGTAAGTGAGATTTTGAGCTCAAAGGGAATATGAATTTTAAATTTTGATAGATATTACCAAGTTGTCCACCAGAAGACTTGTGCCAGTTTAGATTCCCAAGACTAACGTATATGTGTGCCTGTTTCTACCGTCTACAATACTGTGTTCAAATTTTGTAGTCTCTGCTAATCTGGCAGGTGCAAATATCTCTGTGTGGTTTTCATTGGTATCTTTACTGGTGTCAAGGATATTTTCAAATGAAAGAAGACTTCTCTTCCTATGCTGTGATCTGTCCTTGTATTTTTTAGTATCTTCTATTGTGTTGTTGATTTTTTAAACTTCATTTCTTTTTTTTTTTTTTGAGATGGAGTTTCGCTCTTGTTACCCAGGCTGGAGTGCAATGGCGCGATCTCGGCTCACTGTAACCTCCGCCTCCCGGGTTCAGGCAATTCTCCTGCCTCAGCCTCCCGAGTAGCTGAGATTACAGGCACGCGCCATCGTGCCCAGCCAATTTTTCGCATTTTTAGTAGAGACGGGGTTTCACCACGTTGACCAGGATGGTCTCGATCTCTTGACCTCGTGATCCACACGCCTCAGCCTCCCAAAGTGCTGGGATTACACAGGCTTGAGCCACCGCGCCCGGCCGATTTTTAAAACTTTATTTCTAATGGCATTATGCAGATAGGAAAGACAACATCCCCGCTCCACCAAGTTTGTCTTTTGTTTTGGCTGTGTGAATTGCCTTGTAGAATATATTTTTGTGTAGACTAATTTGACCTTTTTCATTATGACTTTGAGATTTTGAATCAGTTAGAAAGTCAGTCCTAGGTTATAAAGGTGTTCCAATGATCTACTGCTGTTTAACAGACAATCCTAAAATTTGAGCCTTCAAACAACTACTATACCAAGCCTCAGTTCTATAGGTTGATTGAGCTCAGTTGAAAGATCCTCACTTGAAGTCTCTCAATTGGTTGCAGGTGTCAGCTAGGGTTTGTCATCTGAAAGGCCTGACAGGACAGGACATCCAAAATAGCACTCCCACATTACTGGACTTGAGGCTCACTGTTGGCTAGCTCAGCTGTGGCTGATTATGAGAGCGCCTCTATGAGGCCTCTCCATGTGACTAGAAGTTTTCACAGCATGGCAGCAGGGCTCCAAGAGTAGAAGCTGTAAGGCTTCTTATGAACTGGTCTCAGAAGTCCCAATATATCACTTCTGCTACATCCTCTTGATGAAGCAAGTCACTAAGACCAGCCCAGATACATGGGGAAGGTAATACATCCATTCCATGTGAAATATATACCCATCCCTCCAAAGATGTCCCCAAAGTCTTATCCCACTATGGCATTGGCTCAAAGATCAGATCTTATTCTCTAAATCAGGTCAAGGTGTAGACGATGCTTTATCCGAAGACCTGTGAACCAAGGAAGCATATCTAATACCCAGTGTTGATTCAGAGATAACTATCCTTGAAAAGTGCTTCTATTAAAACATGGGGAACTAGCAGGTACTGGTTCATAGAAATTCAGCAGTTTAGCTGGGCATATTGCCACCAGTATCCTTAGTAGCGCCGTACCGCCCGAGAGTGATTCTCCATGATTGTCTTAGTCCAAGTTATTCTTCCTTTTCCATGAGAAACGGCCTGTGCTTGTAGCTTAGTAGGTTTCTCAGCCTGCCTCCCTGCCCAAAGAAAGAGGTAGGCGCTTTTCTGTCCTTTTCAGAGCAAGTTAGTGTTTCTGTTACAAATGTTATGGGTTCCCTATGCTTCTTATTGAAGCTCATTCCATTAGACAAAACCAATATCCACAAAGCTCTTTAAGACAAGCCCCTCATTTGGGTTGAGTGTCAAGGTGCTACGGGATGATTCCCTTAAATTTGGAACCATTTGTGTATAGTCTCGGAGCCACACACTTAAATGTTTCTGAAGTCTTAAAAAGGGGTCTTACGGTTGCACCCTTGAGATGATCTGTACCTTGAAGGCCACTTCTTTTGACCAAAACCACACAGTGGAGCAGGTACGGTTAAGAATATTTACATAGGGTTAAATACCTTAAGCCCCGAGACAAGAGAACTGTTTAGACTATGTGGCTAAAGGACCTTAGACCTTAGTTACCTGATGACTGACATGGGGACTGGGTCCTGGGATAGAGGAACATGACTGAAAGTCCTAAACAGTGGTATTACAGGACTGACTGGGGAATGCAGCTTCAAGGGTTTTATCACTGTTATTGGAGGGCCGAGGAAAACATATGGTTAAAGATTGTCATACACAGCTGAGCCTCCTCTACGCCTGGGTATAGCCTATTGCTCCTAGGCTACAAACCCGTGTAGCAGGTAACAGTGCGTACTGTAGGCCCTGAGTACTGTGGGCAACTCTAACGCAATGGTAAGTATTTATACATCTAAACACAGAAAAAGTAAGGTAAAATACAGCATAAAAGACAAAAAAAAAAAAAAAGGTACACCTGCACAGGGCAGTTACCATAAACGGTAAGTTGCTGAACTGGAAGTTGCTCTGGGTGAGTTCATATGAAGGCCCGGACACTATTGTACATTACTACAGACATAAATACTGTACCCTAGGCTACACTCAATTGATTTTAAAATTCTTCTTCAGTAATAAATTAGCCTTAGCTTACTGTAACTTTTAACTTTATAAACTTTAAAATTTTTCCTTTACTTTTTGGCTTTCTTGTAACTTAGCTTAAAACAAAAACACACTGTACAGCTGTACAAAAATATTCTTCATTTTATCCTTACCTTATATGCATTTTCTATTTTGAAAATTATTATTTTTTGTTAAAAACTAAGACATGCCGGGCACGGTGGTTCATGCCTGTAATCCCAGTACTTTGGGAGGCTGAGGCAGGCGGATCACCTGAGGTCAGGAGTTCGAGACCAGACTGACCAACATGGCAAAACCCTGTCTCTACTAAAACTACAAAATTAGTCGGGTGTGATGGTGCATGCCTGTAATCCCAGCTAGTGGGGAGGCTGAGGCAAATGAATCACTTGAACCCGGGAGGTGGAGGTTGTGGTGAGCCGAGATCATACCACTGTACTCCAGCCGGGTAACAAAAGCGAAACTCTGTCTCAAAAAAAAAACCCCAAAAAACGAAACCAAGACACAAGCACACACATTAGCCTAGGCCTATTCAGGGTCAGGACTATCAATATCACTGTCCCACCCCCCTCCATATCTTGTCCCACTGGGAGGTCTACCATGTCAAGGTAGTGTCAATGCCAAGGTCAGTAGGGAGAGGAATTTTTCAGCTCCACTATAATCTTAGGAGCCCACCACTGCGTCTGCAGTCCATCACAGACAAACACGCAGTGGCTGACGAGTTACCGGGGTGCTGATGAGGTGGTACAGCTGGGGGTGGCTGGGGTTATCCATTTTCTTGGTGATCTGATACGGGTGTAACTGAGATCCAAGGCTCTTTGGTCACAGCTGAAAGACCAGGCCCTGGGACGGGAGTGTTGGGGACAATGTTTGGTGAGAGGGCCCCCCATGGAAGAACCAGGGACTAAAAAGTCTGAGAAATGCAACAAAGGTAGTCAGGAGATGATTCAGCAAAGGCAACAACAGAGATGTCTGAAAGCTGGGAGGAGAGCAGCAGGAAAGGGGCTGTCAGAGCCGAGGGATGCAGGGAGCTGCAGACGAAGCTGAACTACAGGAAGGCACATTTTCTGCAAGATCCCCTCGCTTCCCCTGAAATCTCTTTATATAGTTCCTAGATTCTCTCCCCATACAAAGGACCAATCTTTCCAATAAATCTACAAATGATTTGGCTCTTGTTTTCCAAGGAAATGAATTCCTGTGAAATACTGGACTTAAGTTTCAGATGTCTGTATCACTCCTTATCCCTGTTATACAGTGAATGAGGGACGCAGCCAGTTACAGATGTAAAAAGAAGCCAAGTTTATTACAACCGAAGGCCACAAAACATGGAGGAGACTTAGTGTGGAGAAGGTAAACAGTCAAATGTCCTTTGACCACTTACGGAATGCATCTCTCTACTCCATCTCATCAAAGTGTCAACATTCTGACTCTTAGTCCTTGCCACCATCTTCGCCTTCAGAGAGAGCATAAGGAGTCGGCAGGTTGGCCCGCACGCGGCTCAGGGCCGGGCTGCAGCGGCAGTCTATGGTGGACAGACTTGGTCTTCTGTGTCTGCTGAGGTGAGATTTGAGGCTGAAGCCCTGCCCACACATCTTGCACACATATGGCTTCTCCCCATTATGTGTCATTTGATGTAAGGTGAGGTGTGACTTTTGTATAAAGCCTTGGCCACACTCTCTGCAAACACAAGGCTTCTCTTCTGAGTGAGCCCGTTTATGTGTGATTAGAGCCGACTTATTGCCAAAGCCCAGTCCACACTGCCGGCACATGTAGGGCTTCTCCCTCGAGTGCTTCCGCTTGTGCCTGATGAGACCGGCCTGGTGGCTAAAGCCCCGCCCGCACTCCCGGCACACATATGGCTTCTCCCCTGAGTGCGTCCTCTGGTGTGCAACAAGGTTTGACTTCTGGCTGAAGCCTCGCCCGCACTCCGCACACACCATGGGCTTCTCCCCTGAGTGCGTCCTCTGGTGTCTGATGAGGTTGGATTGCTGGCTGAAGCCCCGGCCACAGTCCTTGCACACAATGGGCTTCTCCCCTGAGTGTATGTTCTGGTGTCTGTTGAGGTGTGACTTGAGACTGAAGCCTCGCCCGCACACCCCACACACATACGGCTTCTCCCCGGTGTGCGTCCGCCTGTGAGAGATGAGGGTTGAATTCTGGCTGAAGCTGTGCCCACACACCCCACACACGTAGGGCTTCTCTTTGGAGTGTGTCCTCTGGTGATTGACAAGCGTGGTTCTCTGCCTGAAGCATCGCCCACACTCCTTGCAGGCGTAGGGCTTCTCCCCGGAGTGTGTCCTCTGGTGGGAGATGAGGTTTGACCTGTCACTGAAGCCTAGGCCACAATCGCTGCACACGATGGTCTTCTCCTCTAAGTGTGTCCTCTGGTGTCTCACGACGGCCGACTTCTGGCTGAAGCCTTTGCCGCACTCCCGGCACACGTAAGGCTTTTCCCCCGAGTGTGTCCTCTGGTGTATGATGAGGTTGGACTTCTGGCTGAAGCCTCGCCCACACTCACTGCACATGTAAGGCTTCTCGCCAGAGTGTGTCCGCTCGTGTATGATGAGCGTTGACTTCCGGTTAAAGCCTCGTCCACACTCCCTGCACACAATCGGCTTCTCCCCCGAGTGTGCCTTCTGGTGTCTGGCGAGGCTCTTCTTCAGGCTGAAGCCCTTCTCACATACCCCACACACGTAGGGCTTCTCCCCTGAGTGTATCCGCTGGTGACTGAGCAGGTTGGTCATCTTGCTGAAGCTCAGTCCACACTCGCCACAGTTGACTGTTCCAAATCCTAACACTTCTATCCTCTTCAACAATTTGTCTGTTTCCTCAGGGTTCCCCGTCTGAGCTGGGCTGGCTTCCAACTCCACCCCTCTGAGGCCTATCCGAGAGCTGACTGGCTGCCTCTGGGGTGGCCTGGAGAATGCTCCCAGAGTCCTTTTCTTTGTTTTTCCAAACAAAGGCCTGGCACCTTCTCCCTCAGGACCTTCTGGTTGATCACTCCAGGGACTCCCATCAGAGGTCTGTTGTTGCCTCTCCTGGTCTGCTGGGCCTGGATCCCCGGGCTGGATGTGACCTTCTGCACACAAGCATGTGAAGATCCAGGGGGGATGATTACACAACACATGCTGCATGGGGAATTTCTGACTGGAGAAACCCGGAGGGCAGAAAGGATCGAGGCAGAGTTCTGGCTCTGGATCTGCCACAGAGAGAAAAGTGTGAGTCACAACTGAGTCCTCAGTGGGGAGTCTGAGCAGACTGCTTAGTCAGATCCCCAAGGCTTCAAAACCCTTAGGCCCTACGTGTCATCCAGCCAGGACTTCTTTTAAACGGCCTACTCTCCAGCCTACCACTGCTTTTTACGTTTTCCATTACAATCCAGAAAACCCACTCGTTGAGACCTGTTCTACATATCCACTATACAAGCATCCCTGACATTTTGGGGTGTGTAAATAGGGCCAGTATGGAACACTTCCCCCTCACCTTCAATACAATTAATTACCTTCTAACTGACAACCACCCACACTGAGATAAACCATGTCTACAGGTACTTTTTTCTTTGATGGAAAGATGTCTAACCCTAGGACCCACGTGGAAACATCCTTCCTTGTCTCCCTATGAGGACAAGGGGATGGGATTGAGAAAGCAGTTATTTGCAGTGAACAGAGAAGCCCTGGTGTAAGGAGGAGCGTGAGAGGGTGGTGAAACAGTGTGACACACCCAAACTCCGTCTCCCCACTCAAGGAAGATTTGTTAGATTACTCTGTGCCAGAATTTCTAGGATGCAGTGGGCTTTCAGCAATGGACAACACAGAACCCAGGCCCCCAGTGACTTAAAAGATGCTCCCTCCTGGTACCCCTGACCCATTTCCATAATTAGTGTAAATAAAATTTTCCTCAAAAATCAGTGTAAAAGAAGAAATTTCTACTTGTAGGAGATGTCAACACTGAGAATACTGTTTATCACAACTGGGTCCAGTCAGCTGAAGGCAATCAATGACCAGGCAATGAGTAATTGAGATGAGGTAGAGATCTCAATGGATCTACCCGAATGCTCTTTTCTTGATCAATTATCAAGCTTATTAAAACTGTGTACACATCCACATTCCAGAATGATTCCATGCTACATGGAATGTTACTTTTCAATCCTAATTACAATGAGCAGAACCACCTTTCCCTAACACTTACAAATTCCTTACTCTTCCCATTCAGCAAACCGCTTATGTGAATGTCTTCTCTTCCGTGTTTCATTGCCTGGCCAGTAAATAAGCTCAGTAGCTCTGATGGCCTCTACCTCAGGCTTTGACGACAAAGGAGCCACCAATCTAACCTGATGCCCGCCTCCCCCAACGCCAGCGCTGAGGAGCTCCAGCAGGAAAGCCTGCTCTTCCATCCCTTGTACTCAGGACAGGTGCCCAGTGGTCCCTCCAGATCCCTTCTCAGCAGTAAATCCTAGCTGCTTTCACTGAGTCCTCACTAAGTTTATTTGGTTTAATGGAGGTTGTCTGAGGTTCCACAGCTCCTAACTGATTTTGTATTTCGATTTCTGGCCAGCCAACTTCCTTGAGCTTACGGAAACTTGAGTTGCGTGGAGTTGTCAAATTTGATTTACTAACTGTTTTGTTTCTCTTGAATACGATGGGAGACGGGAAGCAACTACGTATATCTCCGTGGCTGACCTTCATATGTATTGGGTCATAGTAATGGGCCAGTAGGTCTTTCAGCAGTAAAAGGAACTCCTGTGTCTGTCCTGAGTTAAGCACAGTGACTATGATTTTGACACAGGTAATACCTCCTACCCACCCTTTTAAGAATCAAGACTTCTGACATGTAGGCTTAATACAGCCCTAACTTCTGTGCCTATATGTAAAATGGCAGACTTCTATTTATACTACATGTATTTCAGAATCATAGCAGCGCCTTCAGAGAAATCTGAACTTCAACATAGACATTTATATGGAGTGACAGAAGAAAAACAAAACTTCAGTTCTCTTTTAGTCAGTTTTTTAGTTGGTCACCAAATCTGCCATTCTGTGTATACACTAGGAATATTTAGCTTGGGAAGAAATTTTAACACAAAATATTATCAGGTTAATGAATTCGTTTATAAAGTATTTTAAATCTAAGTTGCTACTGTACTGATAGGTTTATAGAGAATAATGGGCTCTGACGCAAACTTAAAATTAAAAAAAGCTCGAGAATAACCAAATTTAAAAAAAACTAGGCCAGGCATGGTGGCTCACACCTATAATCCCAGCACTTTGGGAGGTCGAGGCGAGTGGATCACTTGAGGTAAGGAGTTTGAGACCAGCCTGCCCAACATGGTAAAACCCTGTCTTTACTAAAAATACAAAAATTAGCTGGGTGTGGTGGTACACACCTGTAATCCTGGCTACCTGGGAGGCTGAGGCAGACGCTTGAACCCGGGTGGCGTAAGTTGCAGTGAGCCGAGATCACACCACTGCAGTCCTGCCTGGCAACAGAGCAAGATGCTGTCTCATGAAAAGAAAAGAAAAGAAAAGAAAAGAAAAGAAAAGAAAAGAAAAGGGAAAAGAAAAGAAAAGAAAGAAAAGGAAAGGAAAGAAAGGAAAGAAAAGAAAGAAAGACGCCAGTTTCTGAAGAAAATCTTTCTTGCTGCAGCTGCAGCTCTGGCTCTGAAGGAAAAGGTTTAACTGTGGTGTGAGCCAGGCGCCTTGCTTATTAGGTCACATTGTAAGAAAGAAATGTGAGGCACTCAGGGCTTATCCAGTCCAATCTGTAAACAACCTTACTAGCTGGTATACAGCTAACTGTAAAGGGGGGAATCAATATTTCAAAATAAGATAAATCCTGTAAATGAGACAAATGTAATGTCTTCTCCCTTATTTTATCAGTGTAAACATAACATTAGCATAATATTCTAGTGATATAAAACTTGGCTCATATTAAACTCAAAGAGAGTTTAACTAAACTTCCAAGACTAATACACAGGTTCAGCATCCCTCATCTTCAAAGTTCCAAAATCTGAAAATCTTTAAGCACCAACATGCAGCAACAAGTAGACAATTCCACGTCTGATCTCAGGTGACAGGCTACAGTCAAAACACAGGCACACAAAACTCAGGTTATTCAGCACCCTCAAAGGGAAATATAGTCATCTTCAGGCTAAGTATATGAGGTAGACACCAGACATAAATTAAATTCCTGTTTAGACTTGGGTCTTATACCCAAGATATTTTATTATATATATGGTAGTATTCCAAACTGCAAACCAAACAAACAAAAACCCACAATCTGAAATACTTCTGGCCCTAAGCATTTTGGATAAGGGATACTCAAACTATACAGATTTTAAAAATCAGACAGGCTAACATTGCATTCACAAATGTTTAAGATTAGCAAATATAGATATATGTGTCCAACTAATATCTTACAATTTACAGATAGTGCCGGAAATTATGTGAATCTACAATTACTCTACTCGAAGTAAACACCAGATACGGCATATTTTTCAGGCAATTTTTAACTTAAGACTGATTATGTTGTTTTTCAATATCTATGATCTCTGTTAGGAAATCATTATAAGAATAAATACTGTCAAAAAATTCAAAAACAAAACTATACAAAGTGCTCCCAAGCAATAATTTTACTTGTATTTTTGCCTAAACTAATGAGATCAGCCTTATGTTAATTATTTTAGAGACTGAAACTTAAAACTTTAAATATTGTCCATCAACATTATATATGCTTAAAAATGTACAATTATTTAGTTTGCCAATAAACAGAAAAAGAGCTTAAACTTAACAATAATACTGGTAACTAAAAAGGAATTATAAAATGGTATGTAATTTTTGTAGTCCATATGAAAAATAACTAATTTTTGTCTTCTGTATACTCATAATTTTTGTCTTCTGTATACTCAACTTAGAAAATAAAAGCTCTATTTTTACTTCACAAGATTTTCAACTTCTCATTCTTTATCGTTTAAAGTTTGTAGAGATAGGATCTCTCTCTCTGGCCCAGGCTGAAATGTATTGGTACAATCATAGTTCACGTAGCCCAAACTCCTGGGCTCAAGCAATCCTCCCTCCTTAGCTTCCTGAGAAGCTGGGACTACAGGCACACACCACCTCATCCTGGTTACTTATAAAATTTTTTTTACAGACAGGGTCTCACTATGTTGCCCAGGCTGGTCTTGAACTCCTGGCCTCAAATGATCCTCCTGCCTTGGTCTCCCTCAAATATAGGCACAAGCCACAGCACCTGGCTTTAATTCTCATTCTTACGCTTCTGTGTTACCTCTTACCAAGCTCTTTAGTCAATTTAAATAACAAGGATTATTCACTTCAGGGGGGTATATAATTCCTCATAATTATGGTTAACTCCTGTTACTTTTTAAAAAACAAATTAATTTTTAAATTGACAAATCAAAATGTATATATTCATTGTGCACATTTTGAAATACATAGAAATGGTGACATGGCTCAGTTAATTAACCTATGCATCACCTCACATACCTATCATTGTTTGTGTTGAGAACACCTAAAATCTACCCTTAGTGATTTTCATGAATACATATAGTATTATTAACTGTAGTTATCATGTTATACAGCAGATCTCTTCAACTTATTCCTTCTATGTGACAATCCTTTGACCACCATCTTCCCCCACAACCCCCATCCTCTACAAACCACCATTCTATTCTCTGCCTCTATGAGTTCAACCTTTTTATATTGCACATATAAGTAAGATTGTGTGATATTTGTCTTTCTGTGACTGGCTTATTTCAGTTAACATAACATCCTCCAGGTTCATCCATGTTGTTACAAATGATTCTGTTACATCTATTGAATTAGCATTCTGATCATTGAAATAGCCAAGAAAATTCAATGTTTTTCTTGTAACTAGTCTATTTTGAGGATTCTGATATTGCCTGTCTTAAATCCAAGTCCCAAATTTAGAATAATGAAACTGTTAAGATGTATTTTACACCTACAACTGTCTTCCTCCTGTTACACATATATTTTTGGTTTCTAAGACAGCTTCTTGGACAATCACAATGACTTGTTCCTTGGATTGTATAGCATTCTTTTTAAATTGCTCAACATCATTGTGAGAGCTGCTGTTTTTCTTTAAATTAAATCAAGGATTAAAAACAAGACTTTGGAAGGCCGAGGAGGGTGGATCACCTGAGATCAAGAGTTTGAAACCAGCATGACCAACATGGTGAAAATCTGTCTCTACTGAAAATACAAAAAATTAGCTGGGCATGGTGGTGCACGCCTGTAATCCCAGCTACTCAGGAGACTGGGGCAGGAGAATCACTTGAACGTAGGAGGCAGAGGTTGCAGTGAGCCAAGATTGTGCCAGGCACTCTAGCCTGGGCAATAAGAGCAAAACTCTGTCTCAAAATAAATAAGTATATAAAAGTTACAAATAAATAAAAAATAAGAGACAAAAAAGATAGGTTTCACTTTAAGACAATGACAGGCAAGCTGCTTATTAATATAAATGTTTTGGTAATTCTGTACTTTTCAGGTTGAGAAAAACACATATTTGTGTAATGTACAAAGGTCAGGGTATATAGCATTTTCCCAGCCTCCACATGCCAATTCATGAACTCACAGGTCAGATAATGCTCCTACATCCTCTCCTTCTCTGTCCAACATTGCCTCCATGTCCTTGGCTAGACCTACCTCTGTTGTCCTTTGAGAGGAAGATTTTTCTAAGATTCCCTCAAGCAGATAGATAGCTTCTTTCTCTCATATCTCAAGCATTACAGAGTGGGGTGAATGTCCTTGTTTTGTAACGTGGCTTCTACACCATTACCTAACATACTCCTTTTAGGATCATCCACAGGCCTCCTGGTTTCACACACTGCCCTGAATATCTGATTACCTACCAGCTTCACATCCTCTCCACACCAATACCTGTCAGCACTCTCAGGGTGCTCCACAGGGCCAAGCGCCTCCTTGGCTAAGACTCCAGCCTCTCAGTGACACTGACCTCACCTGCACTGTGAATGCTGTTCACAGACACTGCACAAGCTTCACATTCTCTCTTGTGCACATTCCCTTCTTTGACACAGCCTTTTCTTCTACCTTCTGGCTCACTTTGTTCAAGCATCATTAGCATGTTGGTTCCTGACCTTTTTTGGGGCTTCAATCCATGACCTTTCAGCTCATACACCAGTCCCTCATCTTTACTTCTTCATACAACTGAGATCCAATGAACTTATATATCCAACTGACCTTTTATGGAACTATATATTCAACAGAGAGCCTATGAAACCATCACGGTGCTCTCACAAGCATGATGTTCTGGGCTGAGTTGTGTTCCCCTCAAATTCTTATGTTGAAGTTGTAACCCCTAATGTGACTGTATTTGGAGACAAGGACTTTAAAGAAGTAATTAAGGTTAAATGATGTCATGAGGGTGTGCTCCAATCCAATGGGGCAGGTGTTCTTTTAAGAAGAGGAAGAGACAACAAGAATGTGTAAGCCTAGAGAAAGGGGCCATGTGAGGACACAGGGAGAAGGCAGCTGTCTGTAGGTTCAGGAGTGAGGCCTCAGAGTGACCAAACCTGCTGACAACTTGATCTTGGACTTCTGGCCTCCAGAACTATATGTAAGTGAATTTCTGTTGTTTAAGCCACCTAGTCCATGGTATTTCATTATGGTGGCCCAAGGTGACTGTGGGGGTTCAGTCAGGATGGTGGGAGAGATTGTAAAACTATAATAGGGCCAGGCACGGTGGCTCACGCCTGTAATCCCAGCACTTTGGGAGGCCGAGGCGGGTGGATCACGAGGTCAAGAGATTGAGACCATCCTGGTAAACATGGTGAAACCCTGTCTCTACTAAAAATGCAAAAAATTAGCTGGGCACAGTGGTGCGTGCCTGTAATCTCAGCTACTCAGGAGGCTGAGGCAGGAGAATTGCCTGAACCCAGGAGGCGGAGGTTGCGGTGAGCCGAGATTGCATCATTGCATTCCAGCCTGGGTAACAAGAGCGAAACTCCATCTCAAAAAAAAAAAAAAAAAAAAAACCATAATAGTCACAAACCTTCTTGGAAGGCTGGAAGGTTTTTGCAAAAGCCTTAGGAAGGAAATTATGGCTGAAGGCAGCATAATCCCCTTTCCTTGTGCAAATGACATAGAGTACATACAAAGGAATGTAAGGGAGTTTATCTATATACGTTGTTTACTCATGTGATCCTAAAACTAACCATTAATCATTTGCAGGCCAGATGGCTCTCTCAGGGGGAGGGCGACCAGGTTTGGTGTTTGCTTTAGGCCTCAGAACCTGGCCTTTAATCATTATCCACAGGTGTGTTGACTCAGAGTGTCTGTTATTAAATATATACTGAATAAATGCCTGGAGTGCCAGCTGATCAGAGCTGGTGGCTGCTAACTCTCTCTGCAATGTCTGTGGCTACGTATCCCTAGCCCACTCTTTCACTGTGTTCTGTGTTTGAGTGTATTTATTCATCTGTCACTGGGCCAGGATCTGCTGGTTGGACCCCAACAAGTGACTAATACAGATGCTTTACTTCCTTTGCCCTGACCTCCCTTCTTTCCTAGCGCTGTAGTGTAACACCTACTCATCTGCCTCATAGTCAACCCCTGAACAAGTCTCATGAAGTTTATCAGTTATTAAGTAAACATGAAAGGCTAAAGTCCCTATTAAAAGTTAACACCATTTGGTTTGACAGCAAATGCAACACCAGCTACATGCTGCTGCTTAAAAGCAAACACCCAAATGACATTGTTTTTATTTTAAGAGGATGAACAATAAAATACCAAAAATATGCACAAGAAAGTGTCATGCTAAGACTAATAAGAAATAAAGAGGACGTTAAAAGAAAGAATATCACATGGAAGTTTGAGAATTTCAGTATTAAAAACTTCATTAATGAGTATTATCATGAACCTTTATATACCTAATAGTACAATAAAGTGAAATATAACACAAAAACTTAGAAATAAATGAAGAACTTGAAATAAATTACAATGACTGTGGAGACCTTTAGGATTCCTTCTAACAGACGAACAGTAAGGATATAAGCAAGGTGAAAAATAGAAACAATTTATATTACGTATGCTTTAGTCCCTCAATTCAGAGAAGAATTAATGAATTTTATAAAAACAAGAGGAGAAAATTTCCTACCTAGTAATAGATAATATATACTTCTGTGCATAAACATTTATAAAATTGTCAAAAGAATTAAAAAAATTAAAACATGTAATTTCTTGAAGTTATCTATGCCTCTGTCACTTAAAAATAATGCAATTTCTTGAAGTTATCTATGCCTCTGTCACTTAAAAATAATGCAAAGTAGGATGAAAACTTCTCAGCAGCCCCTTGTCCAACCCTCCCCAATTCTATCCCCACAGAGGTAACCATTAGTAATGGTAAATAACAGACTTCTATGTTCACATAAACATATGGATATATACTCTTTCACACCCTTCTCTTTATTTAACAAAAAACTAAACTGCGTAATACACAAAGTCCTATAACTTTTTCACTTAATAGGGTATTCAGTGTCTGATTTAAAGAAGATAAAGAAAAATTTGATTATAATTAGTGAATAGAGAGGAAATCTCACAACAAAGAAAAGTGTAGTAAAAGTAAATGGAAATTGCAGAACTGAAAAACAAGGGAAATGAAGGATTCACTGGTCAGAGCTTAGCATATGGAAATGACAAATGAGACAGTACACTTGAAGACGGACCAACAGAAATCATCCAATCTCAAGAACAGGGAGAGAAAAAGATTTAACAATATGGAAAGGATCAATAACCTGTGGGATTATATAAAAAGGACAGAGAGCATCTGGCAGATAAAAACATGTAAAGGAAGAATGTACTTAGGGCAGTGACATCACAGTGGAACTGCTGAATACCAAAAGTACAGAGAAAAGTAGCCAAGGAAATAAAGCTAAATATGTTCAATGGTGACTTCTCCATTAGAAACAACGGCAGGCAGAACAATGGAATGTTATCTTTAAAGTGCTGAAAAAATAGCCAATGTAGAATTCTATATCTGGTGAAGACACATTTCAAGAATGAAGGTAAAATAAAGACACTTTCAGAAGCAATAAAGAATACACTGCCACCTGTACCACACGAAATGCCAAATGAAGTCCCTAAAGTTTAAGAAAAACAAAACCAAAGGTAAACTCAGGCTTAAAAAAAAACAGAATCTGATAAATTATCTGGATGAGTTAAAGACTATTTTTTCTCTTAGTTAAAAAATACATGGTAGAAAATAAATACATATGAGTATTTATAAAACAAACATTTTAATATTGTAATACGGAGTGTATGATACAAATAACAAATGTAGCATAAAGGATGTTGGGAGGAGGGGGTGAGTAGAACTGTGCAATTGCAATGCTCTTACATTTTATATTTGCTCAGATTAAATATTAATAGAATATACAAAGTTAATGTATTGTACTCTTAGAGCACAGGCTAGCAAATTTTTTCTTAAAGATAATGGATAGTTCAGGATTTGATGGTTAAGAGGCAAAATTAAGGGTATTATAATAGATAGTTATATAACATTATAAAATATAAAAGCCATTCTTGAATAGCTCACAGTTTTTTTAGAATTCCATTTCAATTTCTCTATTGACTTTTTAGATTTCTTCCTCCCACTGGACTTGCCTTCTTTCTTTAGGTCACAGTTGTTTCCATATTCTTGATCTTTTTTAAAAACAATAACAAGAGAAAGAAGCCCATAAATATGGCAGAGAACTGAGTGAGCTAGAGAGGAGAAACCCAGTGGGGGGAAGGAAGGCTTCCTAGTGGAGGAAGGAGACAAGAGACCCACCAGGAAAGACCCATCCATACTCAAATGAAGATGGAGATCTGGAAAGAGGCCATGTCAGGTGATCTAAACAGAAGCCCAGGAGGTCAGGGGAACAGCTTCCCTCCCCAGCACCTGAGCAACACCTCCTCTCCCCCAGTCCTCTGAGCTGCTGAGCCCAGAGTCTCATTTGCCCAGTGTTTTCCCACTCACCTGGACAGGTGGCCGGTGGGCATTTTTTCTCCTCTCTCCAGGTCTCTTTCCCTTGCTCCAGTTGGGTGATGATTTCTGGTTTAGAAAATGAAATTCCTGCTCACAGGAAAAGAAAATAAGGTAACTAGATTATGGGCTCAAGCACCCATTCAATAATTCAGAGCCAAACTGGCTAGGAAACTTCAAAGGCAGTAGGAAGCCCTGAGACGGAAGGCATGAGCGGGGTTCTCAGAAATGGAACAGATGAGTAAGCGGTGAACTCAGACGAGAGCACGCTGATTCTATTCCATGCTGGGTACATGAACATCTCTCTCATTTAAAATGAGTTAACACAGGAAGAGAGCCCCAGCCTGAGAAAAAAGGACTAGAAATGCAGAGTAGCACACACATATACATATGTACACACACAACAAATCTACCCATCTTCACCTCTGCAAAATCAGACCCTCCCTGGGGAAACAGAAATAGAATGTGGTTGCTTTTTAGTCCAACCCAAAGGTCAAGTCATAGAGCAAGATGGCTGCTTCAAGCATAACCTAAAATTCTCACCAATAAAAATGAGAATCCAGCAGATACCATGCTTACCCAGTGAGACCAGGTTGCTGTAGTTCTCCAGCATCACCTCTCTGTACAGAGTCCTTTGAGCAGGGCTCAGCAGCCTCCACTCATCCTGGGTGAAATCTACAGCCACATCCCTGAATGCCATGTGTGCCTGTAACACAAAACCAAGCTCTGCTCACTCGGAAAGCCAGCCTTGCCCATGGCAGGGTGAGCAGGGAGAAGGCTGCCCTGAGGGAGGCAGGTGAGATATCAAGACCCCCGCCTTTGACAGTGACCCTGGTGCCATGGTTCCAAGACTTTGAAATCTCTGTCTCTATCTAGGCAGTGGCATTTGTGAACCTATATAGTCAAGGTTCTGGGGGGCCATACAAGGTATATGTGCAAAAAATGGAGTCCCTACAATTTTGGGAACTTTCAATCTACATAGACAGAAGAGCAAGCAACATACAAAATTTAAACAACAATAAAGGATAACAGATTTTCTGAGTTTTAAGAATTTAAAAGATCAAATAGTCCACTACAACTCAGTAATTCCTCAAAATCCTGTGGCTTGGCTTTCTCGGGCCTGATGGTCACAAGCAGAGAGTAGTGAAGCACTGGAAACATAGTGCCTGGGTTTGAGACCCACCTCTGCCACCAACTAGTATCATTTTCTTACCTGTGAAATGTAGAGTAAACTTCAGGCCACAGACTGCGAGTGCTTACCATGGAGCTTCTTGGCCATTCAGTCCAAAAATTCATCTTTGCACCTTGTTCTCATGCCCCTGCCAGTCTTATTCTTTTAATTTTCTTAGCACGGAAAATTTTCTTAGCACAGAAAATTAAAAGAATAAGACTGGCAGGGGCATGAGAAAACCATTTCTAATCTCTATTCTAAAACCCTGGAATAGAGATCAGAAAGGGTTTTCTATGACAGGGCCTGACAACTTGGTCTTGGAAAATGGGTTGAAATCAAGGGAAGAAGAAAGTGCTAGGCACTACAGATGAGGCATGTGGGGAGCAGGGAAAAGGACATTATGAGCAAAGGAAGACACTACAGATGAGGCATGTGGGGAGCAGGGAAAAGGACATTATGAGCAAAGGAAGACAGGAAGCCAAAATGTGGGCAGGGAGGCCCCCAAGGAGGAATAAAAGCCACCTCCTGGTAGAATCTAGAACTTTTTCATCATCTCACACCGAAACACTATAACTATTAAACAGTCACTTCCCATTCTTCCCACCCCCTAGATCCTAGTAATGACCATTTTGCTTTCTGTCTCCACTATATATGTGGTTATTCCATGTAGTTAAAATAAGTGTAATTATATATGTCCTTTTGTGTCTGACTTATTTCACTTAGCATGTCTGCAAGATTTATCCATGTAGAAGTATGCACTCAGAATTTACTTCCTTGTTAAGGCTAAATAATACTAATACTCCATTGTGTGTATACCCTACATTTTGTTTATCTATGCATCTATTAATGGACATTTGGTTTGTTTCTATCTTCTGACTATTCTTCCATGTACATGGTTGTTTAAGTATTTGTTGGGTCCCATCAGTTCTCTTGGGTATACACTGAAAAGTGGAATTACTGGATCAAACAGCAATTCTATAGGAACCACCAAACTGTTTTCCACAGCAGCTGTACCATTTGCATTCCCACCAGCAATACACAAGGATTCTATTTTCTCCACATCCTTGTCAACACTTACTGCTTTCAGGTTTTGGGTTTTTTTTTTAAGTCATAGCCATACTAATGGGTATAAGGTGGTATCTCATTGTGGTCTTCATTTGCATTTTCCTAATGTGAATGACAGTGAACATCTTTTCAGGTGATTATTGGCCACCTATACATCTGCAAAAATGACTATTCAAATCCTTTGTCCATTTTTAAGTTGGGGTGTTCTTTTATTGTTGTAAGTTGTAGGAGTTCTTTATGAATTCTAAATATTAATCCCTTATCAGATATGTGACTTGCAAACATATTTCCTTCCTTTGATGAATGAAAGTTTTAAATTTTGATGAAGTCCAAGTTCTCTATTATTTTCTTTTATTGCCTATGTTTTGGTGTCATTTCCAAGAGATCATCACCAAATCCAATGTTATACAGATGTTCCCCTATGTTTTCATCTACAAATTTTATAGTTTTCATTCTTATGTTTAGGTCTTTGATCCATTTTCAGTTAATTTGCATATATAACGTTAGGTAAGGATTCTACTTCATTTTTCTGCATATAAATACACAGTTTGCTGAACAGTATTTGTAGAGTATACTGTCTTTTTCATATTGAGTGGTGTAGGCACTCTTGTCAAAAAGCATTTGACCATATATACAAGCGTTTATTTCTGGGCTTGTTATAAGACTTGTAAGTCTATTTTTATGCCAGTATCATGGTTTGGGTTACTGCTGCTTTGTAGTAAATTTTGAAATCAGGAATGGTAAGTCCCCCAATTTGGTTCTTTTTCATGGTTGTTTTAGGTATTCAGTGTCCCTTGAGATTCTATATAAAGTTTAAGATGAATTTTTCTATTTTTCATATGGCTTCATGTAACTGTTTAACGTCCTTTAATTTCAACCTGAAAAACTCATTAATATTTCTTGTAGGGTAGGTCTAGTGGTTGTAATACCCACCAACTTTGAGAATGTCTTATTTCTGCCTCAGTAGTGAAGGGCAGTTTTGCCAGATATAGAATTCTTGGTTGGCAGGCTTTTATTTTTTCATTTAGCACTTTGAATATATCAACCCACTGCCTTCTCACCTGAGAGGTTTTGCATAAGAAATTTGCTAATAATCTTATTGATAATCCCTTATATGTAACAAGTTGCTTTTTTCTTGTTGCTTTCAAAAATCTCTCTGTCACCTTTGGCTTTTTATGCTTTGATTACATTGTGTCTCAGTGTGGGTCTTTTTCAGGTTTTCCTACTTGTAGTTCATTGAGCTGCTTGGATGTTTACAGTCAAGTTTATAGTCAGGTCTTTCATCAAACTTGGGAAGTTCTCAGCCATTATTTCTTCAAACAATCTCTCTGTCCCTTTTTCCTCTACTCCTTCTGGGAATCCCATAAGGCAAAGCTGTTTCATTTGATAGTATCCCATAGTTTCCTTAGGCTCTGTTCACTTTTCTTTAATCTGTCTGTGGCCCTCAGACTTGATAATTGTCCTGTCTCCTGGTTTGCTGATTATTCTGTCTGCCTAAACCACTTCTGAATCCCTTTAATGAACTTTTCTTTTCAGTTGTACTTTTTAACTCCAAAATTTATTTTTGGTTTATTTTTATGTTTTCTGTCTCTCTACTGATATTTCCAGTTTGTTCTTACATTGTTTTCTTGGCTTTCTCCACACCTTCCTTTAGCTCTTTAGGATGGCTATTTTAAAGTCCATTATCTGGCCTTGTCAGGATGTTTTCAGTTTATTCATTTTTTTCCCTTTGAATGTTCCATACTTTCCTAATTGCCTTATGATTTTTGTCAAAAACTAGACATTTAAATCTTATAAAGCAGCAACTCTGTAAGTTAGCGTCTCCCTTTGTTTGTATTTTTGTTTTTTTATATTGATGTAGGGTGTCTCCATGCTAAGTATCAGCCTGAGTTGTAAGCTTAAGGTCTTCTCAGGTGTTTTCTGAGCCTGTGCCTTTCCATGGGTATTCCTTCTACATTCCCTCTATATACAGTTGCTTTTCAATATACTAGTCCTGAAATATTTGGCTCTCAAAGGAGAAAAAGAGAACTTAAGTGGGGGAAAACAGACCCTGGCTCCTTAAATCCCCTAAAAGCCACTTTAGCTAATGGGGGTTACAGCTAGCTGATGTAGCTTTTAGGGGATTTAAGTGGACCACCTCTGTGATCAGAAACAGCAATCAGAACACAGATATTCAATATTTGGAGTAAAGAGCCCTTTGTCCACCATGTATCCCACAAACCATGTAGAAGCTGATCCAGGGACATATGCCAGCTACCTGCCATAGGGCTGGCAGGGTGGATGATAAGTATCTGCTACTATACTAAGAGCTAAAATTGTCTGTGACTTACCCTCTATGCCTCCCCCTGGGAGCTGGAGGCCTTCAACTAGACTCCAGATTTCC